GGGGGGGGGGGGGGGGGGGGGTAGGGGCACGGGGGGGACTCACAGAGTTTGGCTGGCGAAAGGTCCCAACCTCGGATGCGTTTGCTAAAGGACCCCGACAGACAGAGAGAAACAGATGGAAGAAGCGCATTGAGAGTCGTTAAACCACCTTCACCACAAAGAACCATGAGGAGAATATCTTTAATTTCAGATGCCAGCAAAATAGCGGCCAGTATAAAAATCCCGACTGTGGCCAGGATAAGTCTGCACGCCAACCACTATGCCACCACGGGCCCCATTTAGCTTTGCATGGGGACAATGAGATGCCCTGGGATTACGTACACACAGCCCAATTTCGGGGTTGAGGGAATTCAGTCCTTCATTTTTATAGGCCAAGAACCAAGAGAAGAGAAGGTGGGGCAGGGGGGGGGGCTGTGAGCTCTCCAGGCTCAACTGCTGGCTGGGTGGGGGATGTCGGAGGGCTTCCAGGCAGCAGGGAGATCGGGAGAGCCGGTGGGAGCCAACCTGGACACCCAGAATCTGCCTCTTGGCCGGAAGGCACCTGGCAGGTGGCCCTCCATCCATTATGCAGGTGGCAGAATTCAGTCGAGGCCAGGAGGGGGAGCAGTGGTTCAACATCCCCCCCCCCACAATTGCGCGCCCTTTGGGGGCAGGAGGGGGGTAGGATTTCCTCGGGGAAGGCTGGATGGGGAGAAGGCGGGCTCCCCCTCCAAGCGGCCCAGCTCAGAAGGGCTCTTGGCCAGCGGGGAAAAGCCCCTCCCGAGTCCCGGCTTGTGGGTCTCCGAGCCCTTCCGCCTTTCCCTCGGAGCCCTGGCCACTGCAGCTGCCTTCTCCCGCGGAAGGCCCGTGGCTGGGTCCCGCGTGGGCTGCCCAGTGCCGGCTGGAAGGAAGCATCTCCAGCCTTTCTCGCCGCCCGGAAACCAGCAGGGAGCCTGGCCGGCCCCACCCGCTCGTCCTCGGCTGCAGCCGCTCCTTCCCTCGCTGAGACGGGACCGAGAAGCTGCCGCGGATGGCGGCCGTCTTCAGCCTCCCGGGCGGTGCTCTCGATTCCCGGCCAAGGACGACGGCGCGAAATGGGTCTCTCTGTCCCGGCCTGCTTTCCGCAATGGAGGCGAGGCCCCGGGAGGCTTTTGCTCCGGATAGCAGCAGCGCCGAGATCTGGCCCAGGCGCTCCCCCGGGCCTCGCGTCTCTGCCGCACGGAAGGCGCCGAGGTTCCCTATGAAGCTGTGCCTGCTCTTCGCTCCCCGCCCCGGAGCAGCCCAGCCTGAGGGGGCTTCACGCAAGGACCGTCCCCTGACCCCCATCCCGCCCTGACTGTCCTGTGACTAAGCGCAGCCCCGAACTGCCCGAAACAAGACCTCCCGCCCTCCAGATGCCTCCAGGTACGACCCAAGGCCCCCCCCCCGCCTGGGACTGAGGGGCAGAGGCCCACCCCCTCCCCACCCGGAGGAGGAGAGGCATCCAATTACCTTGGTCATGGTTGCCTAGCAACGGGCCAGCACCTTGCAGGTGAGGGAGCGCTGGGTGGCTTGTCTGCTTGGGGAAAGGCAGCTGCTGGCTCCGCAGGTGGAAACAGGCCTGGATCACGTCAGGATCGCAGTGCTTGAGGGGAGGAGGAAGGGGAGCTGCCTTGGGCCCAGTGCTGCGTTGGCTGCTTTGACCAGCTGTAGAGGGACCCTTTCAGTCCAGGCACAAGCCAAACACAGCTAGTGTCCCTGCCTCTCCCCCCCCCCCAAGGTTTGAGCCTCATTGGGGCTTCCAGCCTCGCCTCAGGGGAGACTCCCCCCTGGTCAGATCAGAACAAGATGTGGGTCAGCCCAGGGTTTCCATAGCAGACACACCGCAAGGCAAGGGATCCCCTCTCTTGCTGGCAGAGATTCAGACACACAACTGCTGGGGGGGGGGAGGGAAACACAGGACACACAACAACTAAAAGGTCACTAAAAACAGAAGATTTGGTGGAGAGAAGTTTGGATGTTTCTGGGGCAGCTGGTGCCCCAATTGTAGAAGGGCGGCTGGTCCTTGCTTGGTTCTCTCTCAACCTACGAGAGGATCCTGGCTTGGCTGGCTTCAGATTCATGGACAGACGTGGTGAGGGGATCGAGGGCTTGGTGGCACCGGGGCTGCCCTTGAAGGCCATCCCTTGGAGGGCATTTCCTTGGGCGGTTGGTGGGCCACGAGGAGAAGAGGCAGCTGGAGTAGATGGGCCGGGCTCCCCTCCCTTCCCCACCCCGTGGAGTGGTGCTGAAGAGCAGGGCCCATTTCGGAGCTGGTCTCTGGGCAGCTGCCTGGTGAGCATCTGAGAAGCTGCATCCCCCCCACACACCCCCACACCCCCAACTCTCCTGCTTCAGAGAGCCAGGCAGGAGGGGCCCTGTGCAGGCGCGGATGCCTGGCGCCTCCATTCTCCCTGCTGGGCTCGGAGGAAAGGCGCTTCCTGTGGTGGCAGGGAAATCACAGGCCGCTTGGGGGAAGAAGGGCAAGCTGCCCGGCTGGCAGACGGTGGCTGCTGACCTGCCACCTGAAGCCCGGCTGCAGCAGCAGGGATTTCCGGCTCCAGTTGCATCCATGGCGGCAGAGCCTCACTGCCTGGGGAAGGCCGGCAACACCGTAGG